TATTGTCTACAGAAAATGTGGGAGCCTCGACGTCTCACAACCCTGTTACAGGGATAGTATTTACAACAACAAGAAAACTGTACATAATTTATGATTCTCATTCTTATTTCCATAGAAAAATGTATATTCGTTTGCTGGTTCGGTGCACCTCTGCCCCATCTGACATATATTTTGATATTTAATTCGCAGCTGTCATGGGCGAACCTGTCCTATGCGCATTTTTTCACATTTCACGTACCAATTCTCAAGACCAATTTCCTTAGCTCAGGTCGTTTCTCCGAAGAATCCATCCAAGCCCGTGGCCCTTTGTGATATTTCTCAACAAGCTCCTCTTTTGTGGTGAGGAGTTTTCAGCCCACGCCCAACCCCCAAGCCGGAGGACCACCCATTGTCGGTTGTCCGCGACAGCTTATTCAAGATATTCGCACCTACCTTTCACATCCGAAGGTCGTCTCCTCCATCCGCAACCTGAGGACACGCCATGTCGAGGTGACAAGGGACCTACCTAACATGGGTACAGTCAAAAGAGAATGTTGAAGTATCTCCGGTTGCAGCTAAATATCACGAATTCACGCATATTGAATCTTATTTACTTACTCACATGCAAAGAGCTGTGAGCACATACAAGTGCATTTAAAACTTTTCATCAGAAGCAGGAGATCCTACTCACTTTAAGTTATGCCGCGGGCCCTGGCGGTTCCAGACCCATAGTTTGAGAAAACTTATTTTAATTAATTGAGGCAGCAGTTAAAGCATTCATTTCTAAAAGCAGCCGTTACTTCCTAGTAGGATAATTTTGATCACACGCCATCTTTATCGAGTGATAAACGTACTGGAAAACTGCACATCACACATGAAGGTAAGTGAAATTAAATATATACACAACAATTACATTGAATAATGGCATCTTCTGAGATGTGGGGCCGTGTAGATCTTGTGTGAAACGACGTTTCGGAGGAACGTATCGCTTCAGGAAGTCTGTAGCCACCCGATTACGTTGGTTCCTCGCTCGCGGATTTCTCTACCCTGAAGACAGAGGCGATACGTTCCTCCGAAACGTTGGTTCGCACAATATCTACACAGCGCCACATATCAGAAAATGGCATTCTTTATAATCACCGCCGAAAAAAACTCAAATCCTACAAGAAGTCCATTAATTGCTAGCATAACGCACGACCAAGGCTTAAGGGCAGCTGAAACACAGCGGAGAGCATGTGTAGTTGTGTCTTAAAACAGAGTAATTAAACTCACCCCTGGCACGTGGTTTTGTGAGCAATCTCTGCACTATGATGTCGTACGCAGTCTCGTCAGCCACTCCCGAGTCCTTCACCAATTTCTCCTTGACAGCAATGCAGATGTCGTGCTTCGCCAGGAGAGTTTCCAGCTCCTCGAATGCCTGCGAAGACACATGAGGTTCGTGGTAAGATTTCACTGAGTAATGAGGAGCATTAACTGAACTGTCACGAATTTAACAAGCAAAAATTTTCAATTAGAACATTCTATTTATGTTGCATGAAACCTTCAAATGAAACCCGTTCCTCAGTTCGTCTCCTTGTGTCCCGGTGAACCAGTGGTCCTAGCAGCCTAAGAGCTTTTTACGAAACAGCTTAACAGGTTGATGGATTGATGGGAGGCCTACTTCAAAGCCAGTTATCATCATTTTTAACGACCTCCACTCTTTCGTCCAGAGGAATCCCCAAACGGGTTTCATTTGAACAAAATTAATATGTTTATTTAACTAACACACCAATACAAATTAATGCAGACACTATTAACCTTTTTTCTGACAAAAATTTTTCACTGGGCCCTGTTCAGCTTTCTAGGTATATTTAACTTATATTTCGGAAGCTGAATCCTCTTCCTTGCTCTGGTGCCAAAGGGGTAAAAACCTAAGTATCATATACATTGTTACTGTCAAATGTCATATACGAGAGATGCTGCTGGAAGCGGGAAAGCGAACAACAGATGGATAAAATAATGGAAGGAGACGTCACTGTAACTACTTATAGGAGAGCTGTGATACCTTAACCTACGCAGTGGCTGGGCTACGAGCTGAATGATTTAGGAATCGGAGATTTTGATTCCTACTAGAGCCGAAACAAAATTTATCTTCTCCACTATGTCCAGACCGCCCTTGGATCCAATCCAGCCTCTTACTGAACGGATAGCGGATATTCTTTCCCTTGAGGTGAACCACTCACATTTCAGGCAGAGGTAAAGAGCGTGAGGAGCTGTTACCACTCCTCCATACGTCTTCATTACCAGTTATTATATGAAAACTTTCCGTGGCTTTAGTCCGCAAGCGAACTATAACGACCGAGCGACCGCCGCTTGTCGGCGAAGTTAGTGCCAACTTTAGCGGATAGAGGGTGTCGCGTGGTCAGCGCAACGAATCCCCACGGCCGTTAATTTCGGTTGTATAGACCGGTATTATATGGAAACAGTTTACTTTATTAAAGATTCATATATGCATGTAAGTATGAAAACAATTCTAATAGTTAAAAAAAGAAGTTCTGGGAAGAACTAATCGCCTAATTTCCTTTCACTGTAATTTTAGTATCTGGTAGGACAGGTAGTATGAAAACTTTAGTCTGTATGCGCAATGAAATCAATAGAACAATACAGTTTTGTAGGGTGCAATGTTGGTGTTAGGGATGGAAGTGGTTTACGAGGCATACCGATGAGTTTGTCTCAGGGGGCATGACATAAATAACAAGTCTAATCAAATATTAACCTTTCTACCGTCTCAGGTGTAACGCACCCTTCTATAAAACTTATTAAAGTTGATTCACTTCAAGAGTTTTGCACATTGCATAACTTTTAGCTTTTTAAAAGTTTTCCACTGTATGTTTCGACCAAAATGGTCATGATCAAACGTTTAAAATTATAGTTGAGGAAACTACTGTCCTTTTCTTATTGTGGTTTCAGTTATTATTTTTTAAAATTATGGTCCCCTGACTGCGCATGCGTATTCCAAGTGACAGGTTGTTCTTCCTGTTTTGCTATACAGTCTCCTTTTTTACGTCAGACAGCATAACACGACATTAACAGCAACTCGTTGCTTCCAATATATGTGTGCCTAGAGGGAACCATACATTAATAACCGAAACCACGATAACAGCAGCACAGCAGTTTCATTATCTATTATAACTCCTGATGATGACCATATTTGTCGAAACACGGAGTGAAAAACTTTTAAAAAGCTAACAGTTTAGTGATACACGAAATTTTAAAGTTAATAGCCTTTAATCAAGAATGTCGTCTTCTGGAATGAGGCGCCGTGCAAATCTTGTGTGAACAGACGTTTCGGACGAACACATCGCCTCCAACTTCAGGGTAGAAAAATCAGCGAGCGAGGAACAAGCGTTTCTAGTTCCTCGCTCGCGGATTTTTCTACCTTGAAGTTGGAGACGATGTTCCTTCGAAACGTCGGTACATACAAGATTTTCACGGCGCCACATCCCAGAAGACGCCATTCTTCATAGTAACAGACGTGAAAACCTCAAATCTTACATAGCCTTTAATATGTTTTATAGAAAGACGTGTTGTACGTGAGGCGATGAAACGAGTGACGTTTGATACTAAGTTTTATGCAGCAGACTGCTACTATATATTATTAAAATGTTTCATGACCATCGGTTCAAGCATCTGAGTAATATTTGGGGTTTACCTCAAGAATTTGAGGCTATGTTGTTGGTATTACTGATGGGAGGGATTTATGATAGCCATCGTTGAGATGCCCTCATGTTGCATGACATCCTTACCAAGTTTCATGAAGATTGGCACAGGTGTTCAAGTAATTTCAAGGCTTTGCCTCAGAAAACTGAATGGCTGTAATGTTGATATTCCTGAAGGTAAGGAGTTTGAAGTGCACCGTTGAGACGGGCTCAGGTGGCATGATATGCATACCAAGTTTCATGAAGATTGGTACAGGTTTTAAAGGAATATTAAGGTTTTGCCTCAGCTATTTGATAGGCTATAATGTTGGTATTATTGGCGTGAGCGATGAATAAAGTGAGCCATTGAGATGGGCTCAGGTGGCATGATATAATTACCAAGTTCCATGATGATCATTTCAGGCATTTAAGTAATACTACGGTTAATGCCACAACAATTTCAGAGGTTCTAATGTTAGTACTACTGGTCGAAGGAACTTATGGAATATACCGCTGAGATGGCTTTATGTGGCATGACGTACGTACCAAGTTTCGCGAAGATGTGTGCAGGCGTTCCAGCAACATAAATGTTTTGAATCAGAAATCTGAGATGCTGTAATGTTGGTATTACTGATTGAAGGGATTTATAAATTACGCCTTTGAGATGGGGTTAGGTGTCTTTCGCCCTACCTAGCTCTGACGATCGATTTGCACGTCAGAATCGCTGAGGACCTCCATCAGGTTTTCCCCTGACTTCGTCCTGCCGGGCAGAGTTTTCGATAACATATTACGAGTATATGTGCGAAATATACACTTGACGAAAGGTCGAATGTATTAATAAGAGACAGACCCATCTTCTCGTCAGAGAGGATGTTAAATAAGGACTATTACCGCAAGAGTTATGTTGGAAAAAAAATGTGGTCGTGGTCCTCAAGGGGCCTGATGCCAAGACGAACTGATTGGCGGTAAACCGCCAGTCGTAAAGTGACTCTGACTCTGGTTAGGTGTCATGAATTGCTTACAAAGTGTCATAAAGATTGTTCAGACATTCAAAATATAATTGGGTGGGGGGATACAAATATATACACATGGACAGACACATAGAAATGACGTTATAAGCCTAATTCTATTTTTCAAAAGAAGGAGGTAGGCTAAAAATTATAGTTTTAATATTTATTTGTAAAATCACCCCAAGAGACAGTGAAATATCAAGCGAGTCGTGTGCGATTTGCGGGCCACAAGTTTAAAATAAATTTATCACCTGAGCAATGAAGAGAGGAAATAAACTGATTCCAAATAAAGAAGTTTTTTTTAATTATCTTAGTGGTGGGGTGGAGTCCAACTGGGTCCACTCGGCACGGCGGCCACTCATTGGCCTATTGTAGCCTGCCTCGGGTGCTTCTGATGATGGAGAATTTGGTGGAATGAAGATTGGAAGGGGAAACCGAAGTACTCGAAGAAAACCCGCTTGAGCTATGGCGCGGTCAATTAAGAAGGTTGCATTTGTTATAAAATACGCAGGAATATGAAACAATTTAAACGGGACAAAGTAATATTTCTATGGTGCCTCTAAGTAAGTTTTGGGTTCCACAGTACAAATGAATCTTCTATCATTTGAATTGATTTGCCTGTACTGAAGGAAGTTATGGGCTGAATAAATGTGACCATTTGTTCTCCGATCCGTACTGTACAGTCATATCCAAATACCGCAAGACTTAGCACGTCGCACACATTAACACTGGGTAAGCTCAATGGAGCGGACAATGTGTACGTAAATTTTATGACTGTCAGCTGAAGGTTTATTAGGCTGTAAATAATCAAATGAACTTTCGCCTACACTGAAAATGAGGTCACAGCAATTAACTAAACCGTGCTTTTAAACCAATTTCCTCAACTTTCACCTGAGCCCTAAATGACATTTAGATTAATCATTCTTCAGCATTTTAAAATATCAGACAGGATTCTAGCGAACATCGGGAGTACGATCCAGGCTTCATATTCGGTAGGTCTTGAGCTCAAATCTCGGGCATAAAACCATCTATTCTGTCTAAGAAATCTGTGTTTTTCCTGAGTAAAATTTCAACTCTGTACCCCGAATTACACCACGAAAGCTTCCGTGAAAATACTTTTCACTTTATTAATTATAATACAACAGTTATATATTGATCTATTTACAGCATCGTTAAATAAACAACATATAGGTAAAATATAACTATTATCTTTCGGGAAGTGACACTGTTTAGTCTGGTATAAGTTCTGAGTCCTTTCGGATGAGCGCAGTGTCTTCATCAACAGAGACAAGTTTTCTTTGCTGTTTGATTCTTGCTGGTTGCTTACTTGGCTTACACTTTCACCATGAAGATGGAGGCAGTATATTCCTCCGAAACATGAATTAAATATCACCAGACTACACGTCACAACACTACAAAAATTTTACTATCCATAGACATCGAGGTGGGAACCACACACCAAATTAAGAAAAAGTTTCCCTGTGATAAACTGATTAAACACCACGCCATGAAGGCGTATGGGGGAGTGGATGTATAGAGCCACCCTTCTTGATCTGGGCACTAGATAGGGGTGAGTTTTCAGCTTTATGTCCCGTCTGCTTTACCTGCGAGGAAACAGTCCCTGGCACCATTTGGATAGGAGATTGGGTGGTCTGGATGCTGTGAAGAGAAAAGTCTCTTTCCCTACCGGGAATCAAACCCCGGTCCTCCATCCCCTAGCCCATTGCTAT